TCTTTCCAAAGGGCTCCTATTCCAATTTGAGAATTTCGCGTTCTTTGAGCAGCTATTTTCACACATAGAAGATAACCACACTTGAGACACACTCTCTCCTAATTTCAGTTTTATGAGCTTAAATGTCACACTTTCCTGCCTTCCTGGACAACACTTTTCAGCAAGCAGAATGAAAAAGATGTTCTGCTTCCTTCCAAGCCTTCTCAGAAGAAAAAAAACGTGCTGCCTTCTCAAGGCAGAACGTTTTCATCTGTATGACTATTTGAAACAGTTATTAGGAGGCTCTTCCTTCATATACCTATTGAATCAATTAACTTGTTGCAATGTCACCATTTTTTTTTCTTCTTCAGCTTAGTCTGGAGAGATGACCAACATTCTAAGGTATTTCTTTACGTGACTTACTATCTCAAACAAACAACACAGCATGTAGGAGGAGAGCTACCAAACCCAGTTGCATTTTTTATGCCATCATCTCCACTTGAAGCATGATTAGTTTTCCTGTCTCAAATTTTTATGCCCATCCAGGGAGCAGACACTGAAGTCACACTGCAGTCCCAGCACACAAGCAGTATTTTCACCGTGCCTTTCTTTCATGCCAACATAGCTGTTACATTTCAGTGAGCCTAAGTTTGTTTTGTAAGGTTTCTTTCAATCATTCCAGACCCCAGCAGACAAAGCCTCAACAGTTCAGAGCTCCAGACATTCCCTAAAACTCGATGTCAGGTAACTCAACTCAATAGCCATACTGTTTGGTGCAGTCAGCAATTACCATGTCCATTCCAACCTCCTTGCAAGGTTTGAGGTCTCTGTAACTTATTGTTTCATAAAAGACAATGAATGAATGTAAATTTTTAGAGCAATTGAACAATACATTCACAGAAATAATAACATTTCCAGTAAGGAAACTTCACACCTAACCAAGACAGAGAGATTCCAAACTGACATGCATCTGACCTTGACTTTCAGAAGAAGAGCATCACTTCTTCAGAACATGTTTAACAGCCAGGTTTGAAAGACAGTGACAAGGAACCCAGCTGGGGAAAGGAGACCCTAACAGCTGGGTGGAGTAAGGTGAGGGGAAATGAGAAATCCAAAACCAGGCATCTGGATGAATCTCAACAAGTTATGGCTAGCCTAATGAGAGAATTGGATATTTAACTACATTTCTTTCTGCCTTTCTGATCTTTTGAACTACTTGCATT